GCACAAGATTACCGTTTGTATCTTGCAGGGGCCCTACATTGCCTGGTGCCCTCTTCTTGCTCCCAATATACTTGATAAAGGACTTTTTGTTGTTCTTAATCCTGGACACTAGCCTGAGTTCCATCTCTGCCTTGGCCTTCCTAATAGCCCTCCTACACTCACGGGCCAAGGAGTACTCCTCCTTGCCTTTTAGTCCTCAGGTATTCCTGTATGCCCTTGCTGAGCCAAGGGGGTTTCTGAGCACTCTTACCCGCTTTGCTTCTCCCAGGGACTGTTATCCTTTGGGCCTGGAGGATCGCCCCCTTAAGGTACGACCATCCCTCGTGGACTCCCGTCTCCTCTACCTTCTGGGCCCTCAGTGCCTCCCCCACTAGTCTCCTGAACTCATTGAAGTTGGCCCTTCTGAAGTCAAGGGCTTTAGCCTTGGTGTGAGCCCTAGACGCCCTGCATTGGATAATGAAATCCAGCAGGTGATGATCGCTATTGCCTAGGTGGTCAAGGACCTGCAGTCCCCTCACCAGGTCATCCCCATGGCCAGGACCAGGTCCAGCAAGGCGTTACCCCTAGTGGGGCTGTACGCTTCCTGGATAGGGTGAAGGTCCTGTAATAAAGCCAGAAACCTATGCGAGCAATCAGACCTGAATGTCTGCTCCTCCCAGCAAATGTCTGGGTAGTTTAGGTCACCCATGACAATAACATCCCTTGACCTAACCACCTCGATAAGCTGACTGGAGAAGTCCTGGTCTAGCAAACTTCTAATATAGCAACGTAAGAAGTGCAAAATAAGTTTTCACAAACTAAATTATTTATGTAACGGTTATTATGTTATTACAATTACATAAAAAAAAGACTCTGCAACAACAGGAAAAAATGTTAAAAGCTAGATTTTCAAGAGTGCTTGGCTCAGCAGTTTTTGGGGCCACTTTCAATGAGAACAGCAGGATGCTGAGTGCTGTTGAAAGTCTGACCCATACTTTCTTAGATCCCAGTCTGGCAAACACTCAGCAGAACTTTATATACCCGAGTAGTTAAGTTAAACTATTCAAATGTATAGATGTCTGCAGGATCAAGATTTTGTGATGTTATTTAAATGCGAAGTAATCCACTAAAAATCAGAAGTGGTTGCACTGCCATGCAGATTCAGACTCATAACTTAGTACAGTAAACAGGCTTTTTCCCTTTTTGTGTGACCATGACCTATTTATTCACCAACTACTTCTGGTCACAGAGGAACACTTCCATCTTCTATATGGGCTATTTTTCAGAGTAAATAAAAGACCATTATGATGAGAAATGTAATGTTGAAAGTTATTTACAGTAAGCAGCAGTGAAAGTAAGGAAGTAAAGTACAGCAACATTTTGTCAGACAGTCTGAGAACAGTAAAGTTGCACTGGACCTCAGAAGTATAAAGGACCAAAAGGAAAAAAACATGGCCCACTTGTCTTTGTAACCATCACCTGTGCTTTGTGAAACAAAATTCTAAGTGAGAGACTTCAACATTCTGGAAAACGTTGCTCAGACTTCCCCTAAAATCAGGGCAGACAAGTTTTCAGCAGTCTGTCTACAAAGCCAGTTATCTACAAACACTGTTGTAGACTGTAGGGGGTTAATATTCGGTCCCGATTTTCTTCATACTTTTCTGTCATTTTCTGCAAGTCGTGGTCTGCCTCAATCACCTGGAAAACAGGAAGTGAACATTAGAATGAGACGCTCTGCAAAAACATGCTCCATCATTTCATAAGATGATGCAGCTCTAGCATTTAAGAATCAAACAATGGCAGGGGGCCCAGAATGAACCACTCCTAGATACTTGGCCAGTTTGTTTTCAGTGCAGGGATAGGATTTAAAAATCAAACAGTGTTTCCTACTGTGAGTAGTCCCTTCCCCTTCCACCAGCCCCCTTTTTGCAAGTTCAAACTCTTATGCTGGACATGTGTCAATGCCTCCAAGTTTTGGAAAAATACATTTGTAACTTTCACAACTAAATCACAAAATGTTAAAATTCAAAGACTGAGGCTTTCCCCTTTTTTTTTTTCCCCTTTGCTGAACCAATTATAACTGATCAACTATACTTACAAGAACTGGACAGGAAATGTTAAAGAGTGTCCGTTTAACGAGCCACTCCTCATAGAGCTCATGGATAGCTTGTAAATATTCCTACAAAAAAGGCATTCAAACAACATGAATTCATACATACATTATAACTAACTACAGAAATCATATATTTAAACAAACTGAAGTAAACTAAGAGGTCAATGATTTACATAAATTTTGCACATACCCAACAGATACCAGCAAACATTCAACATAAAAGTTTACCTTTCATGGGCAATTTGGCAAATGGAGTCATGCAGGTTTTTATTATGTACTTCACTGCCATGACAGATCACACAACATGTCAGAAATCTTTACCCAATATTTTGATTAAATTATTTCTTCCTAGAGAGCAGCTTCGCTGCAATTCAAAGCAAATATCATATGAAGCATTTAGGGTTTGGGTATTTTTTCTTTTCTTTTCTCCTTTTAATTCTAGCTTCAGCAAGCAGTACTCATTGAAATGATGCCATTGCCACATCATGGTGAACCCACACTGAATCAACAGGAGGTGGAATCTCATAATTTCTCCTTATTTACAATGTCCAGCCTTTTCTTATTCCCACTGATAAAGAAATGAAGAATCACAAGTTTTTGAGCTTAACTAGGTATTATCGTATACCATTATATTGATTTAGCCAATGAGGGCCTCATCCAGACAAGATCAAGGCTGCTATTTCTCTTCCAGGGAAGGCATGTAACTTAACACTAAAAGAAAGATGACCACCATGGAAGGATGAAACGAGGACAAAAAGGAGAAATGAAACACTACTTCAGAGCTGCTTTTTTTGCAGATACTTTTTCACCCCCTAACAGTCCCAGTTAATTTTCTTCTACTTCCACCCACCTTCTTTAAAAGCATTTTTGCTTGTCAGCCACTATTAGCTGTTCATGAGATGACTTAACCTTTCACATTCACAATCGTTTTCTCTCAGTAACAAGGAGAGACACTGCAAAGTAACACACTGTGTCTCTTCAAAGCTACTGCAATAAAATAGCAGAAAGGGCTTATTCTCCAAGGGAAAATTTCACATGGTTCTGGATTTAGCTCTTTGCTTCCATTCACCACACACATTCCACCTACCCACCTGCCACAACTGTAAAAGCACTGTAATACGCAGCCCATTCCTCATACTATCCTATTTACTGCTTGCTTAGTGTTTCATTAATAGAAGACAGTAGTGTGTCACTCTATTAATAGAGTGAATACACACTACTAGACTATAATGCTACAAAGATGCCTGCCTCTTCTTCCTAATACTATTTCTTTTTTCTTATTCTATATTAAGGAATACTTATAAAGCCTTCAACTACCTGAAAGGAGGTTCGAAAGAAGATGGAACTAGACTGTTCTCAGTGGTGGCAGATGACAGAACAAGGATCAACAGTCTCAAGTTGCAGCAAGGGAAGTTTAGGTTGGATATTAGGAAAAATTCTCTCACTAGGAGGGTAGTAAAACACTGGAACAGGTTACTCGGAGAGGTGGTGGACTCTACATCCTTAGAGGTTTTCAAGACACAGCTAGACAAAGCTTTGGCTGGGATGATCTAGTTGGGAATGGTCCTACCTTGAGCAGGGGTTTGGACTAGATGATAGGGCTGTGCGAAACGGCTGCATTTCAATTCTGTTTCGGATTTGAACATTTCAGAGGACAGCGATTCCTTTCAGTGTTTCAGCTGTATCTGTTTCAGAGACTCAGCTCTGCCAAATCTCCTTCAAATCTTGTTTCGAATGGGCTGCAAGCTTCACACAGCCCTACTGCCCAGCTGGACAGGGCTGCAGGGCCCCAGCAGGGAGCAGGGCCATGGGGGGCTCATCCGGGGGAGGGCCACTGCCCTCCATGCAGGCGAGGAGACCCCCATGCAGATCTCTGATCCCTGTTACACTGAGTCGCAGGGCAGGGAAGCAGCGCAGAGCAGCGAGCAAGCCTGCTACTCCCTGCCACGCGACACGGCTCCACAGGGAGCAGAGATCTGCGCCAGGGGTCTCCTCACCACCGCTGCCCGTCTCATGCTGCCCCAGATCTCTGCTCCCTGCTGAGCCAGGTTGCATGGTATGGATCAGCACTGCCCTGCCACACAACCTGGCTCTGCGGGAAACAGAGATCCGTGCCAGGGGTCTCCTTGCAACCACTGAATGCCCGGTGCAGCCCCGCATTGCCATAGATGTCTACTCCCTGCAGAGCCAAGATGCACAGAAGGGCAGCAGTATACAGCTGTTTCCCTGCAAGCCCAGCTCCGAAACTGCGAAATTTTCTGAAACATTTTGGATGCCTGGTTTCATTTCCGAGGTGTTTCGGAGCCTTCCATTTCAATTCGGATTCGGTGTTCCGGGTGCCAAAACGGCCCAAAACACCTCCGAAACAAAATGGCTGCTGAAATTTCGCACAGCCCTTCTAGATGATCTCCAGAGGTCCCTTCAAACCCTAATTTTCTTGATATTAGGAATACTAACTCCTAATACTACAGCAAATGGAACCAGCTGGATCACACTGCAGCAAGGCCAAGACTTTACAACTGAGCACACAACATGATAGCCAAAATGAGCCAAACACAAAGCAGTCTAGTTTGCTTCCTAAGGATCTGGTCTTCTTACCATAGGAATGATCTTTTCCTCTTTTCTGCATCTCCTCTTTAACCTCTCGTAACAAATTTCAGGAGAAGTCTGTAGATAAACTGCCATAAAACAATGGAATAGATATGTACAAAGATCATTTTTTAGAAAGAAAATGGAGAAGGAATCTGCTTCAAAACCAATGCAAGAATTATCTATATAGGAAACCTCTGACTTGGGTACCAGCTAGACTTCCACATTATTGTTTTAATGAATGGCCAGCAATGAAACCAATGGATTTGCTTTCAAAGGAAAGCAACCATTTCCAAAGTCCTGGTGAAGGTTAGATGAAGCACAGCAATGAAACAGCAAGCACTCCAAAGGCATTTCCACCCTCCAACACATACATGAAGAAAATGTTTCTAGTATTATAGGAATTATGTAGAACTCAATAGAGATTGTGGCAAAGTGGGTATCCTCGCTAGCCACTGCTAGCCCCCAACCTGCCTCTGGGCACGCCGCTCGCCTGTTTCACCCACCATGCCTTGTTGGAATAATAATATGCTGTTAAATAAGGCAGGAGGCTGCCCATTACTGCACCCCCATATTTGGGGGAGTTCGTGGCTCCGTACCTCCCCTACACCATGGCCCAAGCCTCGCAGATGGCATCCAGATGTTCCAGTGTCCCTGGCCTACAACTGGAGCATGCTTAGGCCATGCTGTCAGGCCTCAGTCACACGCACATTCATACCACCCGCTTCTCACTCACTCCACCCTCTCTTTCAGGGTCTCTCTCTCACGTCGACAACTTATGCCGCCTTGCTCCCTCTAGGAGCAGGCACCCTTTGGCCATAGGCTTAGCTAGTCCATTCCTTGGGTGGCAGACGTACCGTCTGTTGGGCCTCTCCCATGACCCTCACTGGGATAGTGGCCAACCAATTACCTGACCAGGTTTAAGCATACTCGGGCCCCTTCCGGGGTAACACTCAGGGTCTGTATGTGTACTGGGCTCTCAGCCCTCTAGTTCTTCTCCCCCTCTACTCAGGGCTCTACACTGCCCCCTTTACTCGGGGTCTTGGGGCTTCCCTCCTCGGGTGGACTCAGGTGGCCGTAGCCATGCCTGGCCCCCTCTACCTCCGCTGTCACCTGACCCACCCAAAGGTGGGAGCTAGGGTTAAGGTGCCCCGACCCACCTTTCACCAGGGTGGTAACTGGCCTGGCATTTCCTGGGGGCGCCTACACCACTAAGAGCCCCACCAGACCACCCACTCCCGGCAGGGTGCAGTTTTAGGTCATGCCCAGGACCAGGAGCCTCCAAACCATCCGCTACAGCTCCTGCCCTTACCTACAGTTAATACCAGCAGCCTTGCAGACAGGCGGTGGTGTTGCCTGGCCTTCCAGCAGCAAAATGCCCTATTTATATGGGCAGCCCTTAATCCAAAATGGCTGCCCTAATCCGGCATCTGCCGGCTGCTGGGTTCAGGCCCTTGAAGTGGCAGACACAAACAGTATCCTGACACAGAGATAGATAGATCAATCTATAATTTCATTTTTTTTTACCCTAATACAAACAAAAAACCCACACAAAAGGGAGGCAACAGTTACAAACAATATATCTTACCTATCAAGTCAACTGAAACATCAATATTCTTCTTGATCCATTCAAACCATTCAGTTAGTACTAGGTAATCCACTTCTGGCATTCTCCCACTGCAAACAAGAAAAGTGAGCCATTATATTATTTATAAACATCCTTTATCACACAGCCATTCACTGTACCGAATATGGGGTCCCATTCTAAGCTTCCAGACGCATGACTTGCACTGGTGTTTAACCTGTGACCTCACTAAAGTTACTCCTGATTTACTCCAGCATAAGTGAAATGAGATGCTGACCCATAACTTCCCTAGACACACAAGGACCCATAACAATGTTCTCAGACTGAACGCAAGAAAAGCTAGAATTATTTTCTGGCCCTAAATGGATTCTGACCAATATAAGCCTTGCTGCTTAATAGTTAACAGTTTCATTATTGTTGTTGTTTAATAAAAACAAAATTACTTGGTGAACTAAGTAGGCAAATGTTCCAACACTCACAATTAAACAGTGACAATAACAAATTAGCATCAAATGATATTTCTAAAATTCCTCCCAGCAGGATTGTTACGAATACATTTGAACTGTTGCAGTGTGCAGAGCCATAATGCTTTGATTTACTAAGCAAAATTGACAATTCATTATAACACTCCAGTCACCAAACAAAGAGCAACAAGACTCATATTAATGGCATCACATAAATATGACTTTTCTTTCTATGTGAGAAGGATTTATTAGAGGAGAGAAGTGCTGAAATATTCAAGATGGTTAATTTGAGCTCTACATTCATCACACAGTATAAGACTGTAGACAACTATTCTAAAATGATCTTAATAAGAATAATAAAATATTAAAGCAACTGTCATATAAATACAAGTCAATAGAAGACTTGTGTATTAAGGATGAAAAACCAAGTTATTTTTTGATTATGATGTCTTCTTGCCATGCAGTGGAAACTGCAGCCCCTTCCTAAAAGAGAGACTGTAACAGAAGCACAGTGGAATACAAAGCAGCAATGTGAAAGGCCTTCAGCTCTCTGCTAATAAAATGGATGATGGCTGCAGTTCTCAGATGAGCTTGAAGTAAGAGACACTACGGGCTTTTAAACCATCCTTCTGGCAATATGTTTTGATCACTGCCAGGACGGACAAAGCACAATGTACAGAGGAGTACAATATTGATAATGAGTAAACCAAGAAAAAGAGCAAAATCATGATGAGAAAAAAAAATAAAAAGATACCCTACCACCCCCATCCTTCCCTGCTATCCAAATGAACAGCTTGTCTCAACAGTTTGTAGAGAGGAAAAGAAGAAAAAAAAAGGCAACAATTCATTTTGAGCAACTGTTGTTTTTCTAATACCCTTAACTAGCAAATCTCTGTGTCACAATCAATAATAATTTTTAAAGGTTATATTTTAATAGCACAAGCCAAGAAATAGAAATAAGATTGATTCCACCACTTATATATTTGAGAAATATGTATTTGAGAAAAGTGGTAGACTCAACCTTATTTCTGTTTCTTGAATGAGAGAAAAGAGAAGGCTGCACCCAAACACAGATAAAAAATAAAACACAATGAAACATAGTCTAGTGGAAGACTACTCTGCAAACCTCTCACATTCAGCTAGTTCTTGCTTGTTAGAGTGATACTAGTTAAGTCAAAAGAAATGCTTGTGTTCACCGTCCACAAAGTCAGGAACAAGATTCAAAGTACTAAAAGGTGCTTTATTTCTGAAATTCTGACAAGGACATGACTCCCCCAAAGTAAAACTGGTACGGCCAAGGTTATCTAATAGTGGACGCGTCTACAAAAGACGTCTACTGCAGAGCTGCTTAATTAGCTCCACAGTAGAGTCTCAATGTCTACATGTGCGGCTCTATTAGGCTGCAGGAAACTAATCAACTCCGCTGCAGGTTAGTACTTGTAAATGCAAGTACAACTGTATTGCAGAGTCCTTTAATACACAGCAACACACATGCAGATGCTGAAAGAGCTGGCTGGGACATGAGGGTGCTTCAGTGCCAGGGCTGCCTGCCAGCCCCGTCACAGCGTGTTGAGCTGGGACAGAGCAGCCCCCCGCTGGCAAGCTTACCTGCCTCCGCTTCACACAAGCCCCCTGCCAACATGCTGTAGTCTCAGGTGCATGTGTAAATGCAGTGCCCAGGAGCATATGTCCTGGAGTTTATTGCTCTGTGCTAATAGCACATGCAAATGCACCCAATGTTAGCAACTTCCCATCCCAAACGCCAGTGTGAATTCAAATGGAAAAATAAATTATTAGTTAATATTTGTCATGTATATATGCCTAAAACTGCTAAAAAATAACACTTGTTTCTATTTCAATGCTAAATACAAGAGCTGGAATCACAATAACAATATAGAATGATTTGCATTTCTATGATGCCTTTCACTGAAGGTAAAGGCACGGTAAATGTTGCTGATTTAATCCTTGCAACATCTCTATAAAATATTCTTTCTTCACAGGCTTTCCCCCAATGAGAGAGATGAGAAATTAGGGACAGAGTGACTTTATGAGTGCATACCCTGAATCAATGGCAAAGGTGGGAGGAACACCTGGAACTCCTTACCTCCCAGTCCCTTCCTCCAGGATTAAAAGTTATCTTCCTTGAGAAGAAAAGTTTGTTTAGACTGGAGATATGGACCTGGAGATAGAGACTTTTGCTGTGTATAATATAACCAGTGTTCTTCTACAGAATGTCTACCCAGCTCAGAGCAGCCGGGGGCTTCAGTACCCCCTTTATTTATACAGCCTTTCATGCACTTGTTAGTGTCACAACCCAGTGATTTTTGTGCCTCGGCACTATGGAATTTCCTGGCCACATGAGAGCTCCTTTGCGCAGCAGAACACTCTGCCGTAATTGAGAGCCCGCGTGCAGGAGATAGTTCCCGCCAATTTACAGTTTCCTTTGCAGGATGCATTTCTTCTTTGCAGCACAGAAATGCACGGTGCAAAGAGTTCCCGCTATTCGGATGTAAATTTGTGCCCCGCAATTGGCCAGTGCTAAATTATTCACACGTGGCGGCTAGTAATTGGCTCGCTGGCCATTTAAAATTCCGCGCAACTTCCACCCAAGTCGAAGAGCTTTGAGCACGCTGCAGAGTGCCTCTGAAGTTATCTGACTTGCGGCTGCCGATCGATAGACTGATCACCTATCGATCTTTCTTCCCGTCACCGAGCGCAACCCCGACGTACCCCTTCCCCCCCGGCTTCGAATTGCAGACGGATTAACTGGCTTGGGCCCCGCCAGCTGGAACAACTCGCGTGGTTGTTCCGACGACCGGACCACCTGCGTCGTGATTGCAAGCGGCGTGAGTAAAGTTTTTTACAACCAATAAGTTGTGTCTGCCTCTCCATTCACCAGCCCGCCCTAACGTATGACCAATTTCTAACATAACTCGAGTCGGCTCTGGCCGTCCGAGACAGTTAGCAAACCCTTTAAATAAAATACCCACCTACACTGATTTTAAACCAAGACTCTCATTGCTATATGTAGGGACCTATTCAATTTGTGGTTTCATGGACTTTGAGGAAACCCCGAAATTGTGGCTGAAATCTGCAAAAAGACGACACAAAAAAAAGCTTAATACAAATAAAATGCTGGCTCCCCAGTGGAAGCCAGTGGTCCTTGCTGCTGGGAGGACAAGGCACCAGCTGGCAGGGTGGCACAAACGCAGCAGTCAAGAAGGTGGCTACCCCCTTGTCCCTCCACCAATCAGCACCAAGGGGCAGGGTTGCCATAAAATGACTGTAGAATTAAAGCTTCACGCCGCAATCAACCCATAGTGAAAACTGGTAAATCTCCCTGAAATTTAGGTAGACCCCTAGCCATATGTGTACATAGTCTCTACACAAGAAAGGTTAGTTGGATCTGGATCTCTTAATCAAGTTCCAGCAGTCTTAACCTACAAATGTCTTTCAGGTTAGTCAAACTTCCCAGGCACCCAATGCCAAGTAACCAACTCCCACCTGTAATACTGGCAGCCTACTCCTAGGTTTTCTTTGTGGCTGTTGGTAGTTTTTACCTAGAGCAGTGGTCACCAACCTGGGGATCCTGATTGACAGGTAGATCCCAGAGCCTCTTTGGGTAGATCCTGGGCTGGAGGACAGCTGGATGCACGCACATACGCCAGCCCCAGTAGGTCGATCTGTGGAGGAGGGAAGGGGTAGGGGCCAGATCAAGGCCCCCACGGGGAGCAAATGACCGTGCAGCCCAGCCAGGAGCAGGGGAAGGTACGTGGGGCCACAGCCTAGCTGGGTGATGGGACGATTGGAGCCCAGGGGCTCCTCCAGGGGAGCAGGGGGGCTCCCTCCCCATCTCTACAGGGGTGGAGGCAGCTGCTGTTGCACCTTGAGTCCTGCTGCAGCTGGCTACATGTGGGCACAGCTCAGCTCAGCAGAGGGGACTCGTGTGGGGGCAGCCCCAGCCCAGCCAGGGGCGAGGCGGGGTGCGGTGGCAGTAGATCCTGGGGAGCCCTTTACTACTAAAAAGTGATCTTCGCCATTGAAAAGGCTGGAGACCACTGACCTAGAGAACTGACCCATTACCTGGCTAAGGGCTAGGATCTTTAAGCCAGACTCAACTGAAGAGACGCAGCTAACAGTAGCAGAAATTCTCTAATGGCTGCCTCAACTCCATAGAAAAATCCTCTATTTGTCCTGTGGCTCCTCTATTAGCAAGTGACTACTTTCCCAAGCTTTTAACTTAGAGTTTTATGAGGTCTAATGGAGCAGTTATTTTCCTTAATTTCACCAATTTTTGCAAGCAATTGAAAGGGTCACCATAAACTAGAACAACTGCATAACTCACCATTGTATGTATAAGGAATCAGAACTTATTTCTAGTAAGGTTCTCATACTGCCATTACTAAAAAGCAAATCATTTTATATCTTAGTTGATAACTTAGAAGAAGGAGCCATATTACTGACATCACATGGCTAAAGGTCTCCATTAAGCAACCTGGAATTACATTAAAACCTTCCACAGCATTCATTCTAGTTAGCAAGATAGCAAATATATATCTGTGTACAGCACTCAGATCACCATTCTTAGGGCTATTCAGTACAGTACAAGTGTCTGAAATATCTCTCCTGTGATTTCTAGTGTGTACAGGTTGTTTATCTACCCAATATCCAAACTCCGGTGCAACTACTAGACTTTTTCAATGGTTTAAAAATCAATCATCATCATTCATACTGTTTTTATAAGTATCCAGAAAATCTGGCCTTCTATATCTTAGAAATAAACACGATTACAGTAACAGAGCCAATGCAACTATAACTAAGCAAATTAGTTACATGATTACAAGACACTTCATCTTAGAAGACCCAAAATAGCCCCTAAAAGACATACCCTGTCACATACGATCCATCAAAACTTTGTCATTTACTCACCATTTCTCCTTCTCCATGTTCTCCACATTAGTTTTCCAAAACCTAAATATAACCCCTTTCACAGACCAGGCAAAAAAGATGCAGTATCTGCCACCATTTAATTGGACTGGCTTCTATTCTACTATAGAAAGTCAGAAAATAAATACCACGGTCCTAATCCAATTCCGCACCCACACATACAGAGCTGAAAGGGGTAAAGGCCTTTGTAATCCCCCCCTTTTTTTCTTAAAGTCAGCAAATATAGCCCAACACATATATAATGCATAGCATTTTAGCAACAGACAGGATTTTCAGTTCCTGTGACACAAACATTTGGGCTAATGTTAAAACAGATTATTTGGATTCAGATTTAGATATAAGCTTAAAAGCAAAAAAATTAAACCCAAGTACATTTCTTCTGGATACAATGTGATAAACAGCAGTTTTCAACTGCGATGCTATTCTTTACATCTTAGCAACTCTCATGAAAACACAGAAGCAACTCAACACACACACGTATAACAAACTAGCTTGTGTAGTATGGATGCCATCTTGTGGCAAGCAGATATTTCTCCCCAGAAAAGGACAAGAAACATGTTCTTTGCCCAGCCAAGAGTATGACAAACCATAACTCATTTCTTTCAATTTCCAATTTATTTAAAAAAAAAAAAAAGTCGGTATTGTAAAGAACAATCAGGACTGACGAACTGTGTTATTTCAAATGAAAAGGCACTTGGTACCCAGTCAATTTACTGCCTCTACATGCTCCGTCTCAGGCTGTGGTCTCATCAGTTCACACAAGTAAGCAGGACTGGGCCATGGTCAATACACGGCTGTTTCCCTAAAGAACCCCAAGTCTGCGGAAGGAAGTGACCTCTCTAAATCAATAGGTAGCACTCTCCCTCAACAAGGGATCTGGAATGATTTTAGGATACTGTGCTTTGGCATGAGCCAGATTTGGAGTCGACTGCACTGAGGTCCTAAAAAATATATCACTCAAGTCTCCATTTATAAGGAAAGGCAATTTAGGCTTCAGACCCTGGCCAAATTCTAGCTGGGTTCATTTATGCACGTTCAGTTTCAACAGCATTACTCTTCATGTCCTGTCTTCATTTGTAATATATCTTTTTGAATGCAATAAAATATCTGTTGTGCTTCAGCCCATCAATGACGGTAATAAATAAATCTGTTGAAGAACCAATATCCTAAGTATCCGGTGTACATTTCATCCAAAAGACTCCTCTAATCATTCATATATACAGAGGCAAATTGTCCAGACTCTACTTACCTATAGTCCTTAAAGATAATAGCAGCACATTTGAGCAAAAAAATTGACTCTTTAATACAATTACTGCCAATTTCATAATTATTTAAATATAAATTACCAAAGAAAACAAAGATGACCATTTTATGTTTTACTTTAAAAGCTCTATTAAAACAAGAACCTGAAGTAGTGTGTACTGTACCTTCGATATAAATTTTCAACAAAAATGTTTTTTGCACTGTGAATTGACCTCTCCATCATTCTTATGGGGGAAACCTACAAAATAAAATCAAGAGCCATTGACTAGTTTATGTTCTCCAGCACTGTTCATTTCTTTCAACCCATAATAGTCTTTTTACCTCCAGCTTCATGGTCACTGCATTATTAAAGGCCCTACACTACACCAAGCTGTTTTTTTCCAAAGTTGGAAGTCAGACTATTTGCTTGTTCAGAACAGAAGAAATCACTCAGGAAAAATTAGGTATATAAATCTTGGATTCTAAGAGCAGGAGTTTCCTGACATGCTAGCCTTATGGAAGATGGATTAAAGCTGACTGCAGAAGCACCAGACCCAATACCAGCAGGCTAATCACCAGCTACTTAATTAGAAAAAAAAAAACCCTGTGGTCCATTAGAAGCCGCAGATGAACAGGACTGCCACTGCCCAATTTGTAGGTGTTTATAGCACAGGGAAATCACAGAAACTATGGAAAGAAAAGAATTTTAGACCCATCTCTAGTGGGCTACTCCTCCTCCTCCAGCAAGGTCAAAGCAGTGACTGCAACTGGTAAGTTGCACATCTTTTTCTGATGCACCACCCAAATGTGCTTCTCTTCTCTTCCAGTGTTGCCTCACTCCCCAGTTTTTTTTCCAGTCAGCTATTTCACACAGAACTAAGGATCACACAAATTACAACTGTCCCTGCGAGGGCGAGATAGGCCTAGCAGCAAAACAGAAAGTAGGATGCAAGGGAATTTTTAGGTTTTAATAAGGTCTTAGGTACGTTGCTTGCTAGTGACAGACTGATTTTCAAATATTAAAAATCCCAAATGGAAAAGAAATTCTGGGCGTTTCTGTGCAGCTGAGCTGGGAGATGCCCAGGATATGAAAGTGTCTTCTGGAAACCAGGCAACCCCAGGTGTCAGGCATGGTATGTGCTCCTTTGCATGGTGACATCCTGGAAGCCTTCAGCTCCTAGCTGTTTCATAACAGCACTGGTTCTTTCTAGAGTGCTCTGTAAGCCAGAAGACTGGAAGACTTCCACTTCCTTAGCCCCCTATATTATCTACAGGAACACAAGAGAAGAGACTTCCCTCTGCCCTGAAGCAGCACAACAAAGAGGGCTCTCTTGTGGCTGTGAAAGCCAAAGCTGTGCTATGAAGTATGGGATATTGAGGTACAGATGTGGAACGCAAAAACAGACCAAGCACCCAAGGAC